GGGGGGGGGAAGGTGAAGGTGCTGATAATGATTGATGGTGATGATGGTTGATTGATTGATGGATTGGCTGATGGATTGATGATGATGATTGATCGAAGAAATGATCGATAATGATTGATGGCTTGATGATGATGATTGATGATGATTGATTGAAGAGATGATCAGGAACGTGATGATCATGATGATGCAGAGAAGCAAGACGAGATGCGAGCGCAGGAGGTCTCGGGGGAAAAAAAAAAAGAAAAAAGGAAAGGGGAGGATCTGACAGTAATTTGCTAAATAATGATGGATTTCGAGTAGTGATCGATTTTCCTTGATAACTTATTTCAAATAATTTTAGTAATTTTATTAAAATTAATGATCGATTTTCCTTGAATAATTTTAGTAATTTTGTTAAACTTAGTAAAATGGGGGTGGTGTTGTTGCGGTGGCGACTACTTTTTGTTGACGTTCCCAAAATTCAAATACATTTATTGATTCATTCTTATTTCATTTACCAATGTGCTTTCGCCTTGTGGCTTTCTTTCTCCCGTTTCAGGTTTTTCTGGGTGGATGGCAGTATACTTCTTGCGCGAGGAGGAGGAGGAGGAGGAGGAGAAATCTAAAAAGAGACGGCTATATTTTTCTTGCGCGAGTGGGAGTGCATGTTTTGTGGAGGAGGAGGAGGAGGAGGAGGAGCGGTGATGTAAAAAGAGAAATTGTTCGAGGAGGTGTCGGTAAACTGAAAGGAAAAAAATGAAAATTAGTAAAATGAATTTTAGAAAGAGGAGGATTGATCGAGGTGGGGATTATTTCAGCTAGCGGCTGCCTTGAGGCGTCATCAGTTTTTCTTTTCTGTTTTTTTTTTTTTTTTTTTGGTGTGATATAGAACAGTGGCGCACCTTTTTTTTTTGGAGAAAAGAAAAAGGGAAAATGATCTCATGCATGTCACTTTTGTCGTTTCCTCCGCCCCGACGGAGGAAGACACTGAATCCGAATCCCGACCGCAATCTTCGTCTCCTCTTCCTCCTCTCTCTCCTCCTCAATCTAGCCGTTGGGTTTATCATGACCAGAACGGTATTTTTGTCGTATTCGAACATTCCCACTAACCGACAACAAATGCAACCAGCTGAGGTCGTTGATGCCCTGATCACCACCTATGGCAATGACCACGATGCTAATTACCATCATCATCATCATCATCATCGGCATCATCGTCGGCATCATCATCATCGGGATGATCGGGATGGTGACACGTGGACGACGGAGAGCAGGTGGTTGCTGTCAACTATTCGGTCCTGGATAAGAAGAAAATTCTTTATCTTTGAAGATGGAGGCAAAGAAAAATCTTCATCTTTGAAGATGGAGGCGGCTCAGCGGCGGGGGGCGGGGAAGGAGGGGAAGGGGGGGAAGGGGGGGGCCGGGGGGTCTCTTTCGGTGGTGCCAGAAATGGAAAAGACACTGTTGGTAAGTCCGACGGTTCTCCAAAAGTCGAGAGAGAAGGTGCTCCTCACCTGGTCAGGAATCCGTAACCCTTCGCCGAACGATGTGCTGGCCATCTACTCACCTCCACCTCCCGTCGGGATTTCTCCGATCGGGATCGTGAGGCTGTCTCGTCTCAGTCCGGATTGGCCTTCTGGGTCTGGCAACCTTACGATCCCTCTGACCAATCTACGCGCGCCGTACGAATTCCGATTGATTCTGATGGAAGATGCTGGGGAGGGGAGGGAGGAGGAGAGGGAGGAGGAGAGGGAGGAGAAGGAGAAGGAGGAGAAGGAGAAGGTCGAAGCGTCTAGAAACCAGGGGGTAATAGTTAAAGCAGGTGCGTTTTCCACCATCCGGAGAAGAAGATCTAATGGTCAGCGGGTTGTTGTGAGTAGCCAAGTGGTGACTTTCCTAAATTGGAATGAACCGCAGCACGTACGACTCGCGCTGACACCTGACTTGTCAGAGATGCGTGTCATGTTTTCAACTCGCGATCCTCTCCGCTCATTTGTTGCGTACACCAAAGACCCTCAACTTCTATCTAACGCCGATCCTCCTCCTTCTCCTCCTCCTCCTCCTGCTGGTGATGGCGATGGAGATGGTGAAGGTGGTGGTGGTGGTGGTGGGGGGCCACCAGGAGGAGGGGTAGGCGACTTTCCTAAATTGGCTATACGATATGCAGAAGCGAACCAGTGTACGTACACCGAGCAGATGATGTGTGGCGCCCCGGCCAACACTAGGCATGGATGGCGGGATCCCGGCGCCATTCACGATGCGGTAATGATTGGTCTGGAGCCTGCCACTGTGTACTACTATCAAGTTGGCTCTGGCGAAGGTGGCTGGAGCGTCGTGCACCGCTTTGTGTCGCCGCCACGTGTCATCGTCTCCGGCGAAGATCAGAGGAAGGAGGACAGGGAGGGAGAGAAGGGAGAGGAGGAGGAGGAAGAAGAAGAGGAGGAGGAGAGGGGGGGGGAACAAGAGGGAGAAGAGAAGAGAGGAGGGGAGGGAGAAGACGAGACAAATGCCATTTTGTTCGGTGATCTGGGGGTTGATCTCCCTTATGAGCACCAAGGCCACCACTTTCAGGCGGAGGCCTCACGTACCCGGGAGGGTATCCTCAAGATCCTGGATGCCTATCCCGACAAGGCTTGGTTTTTGTCCCACGTGGGTGATTTGTCTTATGCGAGGGGTTTTGGATGGGTTTGGGATGAGTTTTTGTCGTTCATTCAGCCTATCTCATCCCGCCTTCCTTATCACGTCTTGATTGGTAATCACGAGTACGATTGGACGTCGCAGCCCTGGCTTCCTAATTGGGCGGTGGAAGCCAGATCTTATCTGAACGATTCCGGCGGGGAGTGTGGCGTCCCGACCAGTTATCTCTTCCACATGCCTAATGAGGAAAGTCTGGAGACGGGACTGCCGAACGTCCCGCCGACCCGCAACGTGTACCATTCCGTAGATTTCGGCTTGGTTCATTTTGTAGCCTTCTCCACGGAGAACGACTTCACCCCTGGCAGCCAGCAATTCGCTTTCCTGGAACAGGACCTCTCCGCCGTCGATCGGACCAAAACTCCGTACGTGATCGTGCAAGGACACAGACCCATGTACTCCTCCATGCATCGACCGAGAGACAAACCGGTGCAGGACTGCTTGAGAGCCGCTCTCGAACCGCTTTTCCATAAATACCACGTGGATATCGCTTTATGGGGACACGTGCATGCGTATGAGAAGACGTGCCCGCTCTACGGCTTCCAGTGCAGCAACAACACCAGCAAGAGCAGCGGCGGAAGCAGCAGGATCAGAAGCAGCGGCGGAAGCAGCAGTGGCGGAAGCAGCAGTGGCGGAAGCAGCAGTGGCGGAAGCAGCAGTGGCGGAAGCAGTGGCGGAAGTAGCGGCGGAAACAACAGCAGGAGCTGGAATGAGAGGAAGAGCATCAGGCGATGGGAACTGCAGGAGGGGGGCCAGATAGACGAGCAGGATCAGTGGTCGGCGGCATCGGGATCGGAAGAGAGATCGGGACACACCGTCCACGTGACGATCGGAATGGCAGGTATGTGATGTTCTACATCGCCTACTCTGTGGAATTTTTTTTTTCTCGTTTGTTTTTTTTTTGGTTGTTTTTGGTCGTTAATTGCGTGTGCAATTCGCGCCATGATATTCGGGCTCTAGCCCGAGTTTGATGGCTGTTGCAGAAAAGGCAGGCAGGGTTTTTTTTTTTTTTTTTGTTGAAAATTTGATTCCATTGAAAACAAGGCAGGGGTTTCGAACTATATTGTATTGTGTTCTTTTAACTTCTTTACCCATTGATTGAGATTAATGGGTAAAGATTCACCGCAGTAACTTGAGAGATGTTGGAGAAAGAGGGGTGGGTTCTATCAATGGGTAATTACGCCAGGGCCAGAGGGGTTTCGAACTACTATTGTGTTCTTTACCCCATTCCATTTGAATATATTTCGAAACCCCTCTGGCCCTGCCGTAATTACCCATTGATAGACCCCACCCCTCTTTCTCCGACATCTCTCAAGTTTTATTATGGAAATTTGGATTAGAGATTGTTGTTAACTCGGGGGAGTTGATCGGGATCGCTACCCTCGCTAGAAAAGGGTAGCGATCCCGATCAAATAGTTCGAAACCCCTGCCTGCCTTTTCTAGGGAGTTGTTCGGGACTTGATCGGGATCGCTACCCTCCCTAGAAAAGGCAGGCAGGGCATTCGATCGGGATGCCTATCGTGATCCCTACCATTTGTTCGGTACCATGCATCCCCAACCTCAAACAAACTTGTCTCCCCTAGGGTAGCGATCCCGATCAGCTTGCTGTGATCCATACCGATCAACGCAGTTTTCTTGAGATGTCCAGAACACGTGGATGCACTTGGTCAGTTTTTAGCTTTCCTGTTCAGAAGCAAGCGTTGGCCATTGCTTTCTACCTGTGTTGAGAGATTTTGGACCGTTCTTCACCATCCCCATCGTCGAAATCTTGAGAAAAGAAGAAGAAGAAGATGGTAAGCAATGGCCAAATTGCTCTTCACACGCATTCCATGAAAAAATCGTTTCTTACATACGTGTATATCGCTCAAACGCGCACTCATTCCTCTACATGTTTCAACCGGGCGAAATCTTGAGAAAGTTTTTTTTTTTTTTTTTTTTTTTTTATTATTATTTTAAATCTTGAGAAAGTTTCAAGGGCCTCGCTCCACATCTCAGCAAATTAACAAAATGAGAATGAATCTTCCGATTGGATTCTGATGTGCAGGGAAGCTGGACCCATTTTCCAGACCAGGTGCAGCTCCCCACACCAACAGATGGAGCTATTAGGGACACAGCTACTAGTGGGGGCTGCTGCTCATACTACCCCTCCCCCCCCCCTACCGGTAGTAGAGGTCGCAGGTTTTGTTTTTTTTGAAGGAAGAAAAAAAAGGAAAAAAAAGGGAATGAATGGGTCTCGCTCCGCTACTGTCCGCTATACACAATTTCGTATAGTTGCCGTATAGCTGTGAGACCGCCAAAAAATGTATAGAACCCGGCGTCGCTCCGCTTACTATCTGCTATACAAAGTCTCCAGTTCCTGAGTTCACTATGCAACACCCTAATAGCACTAGAAGACAGCAATTTGTCTGTCCAGACTTGAGGTTCACCATACAAAAATGCAGGGGGTCTGTGGTTTCCTTTGAGGAGGATCCGGCTTTTGCAGGCTGGGAACTATACACCGACGGAGAGTGCAATCTCCGACCGATATCTTACAGCTATCCAAGCTATTTGGCACGTGTATAGTGTATAGTAAGTGGAGCGATGCCCAACTCTCCAAATTCGGAGAGTGTATAGTAGTGGAGCGAGACCCAATCTTGCGCTAGAACATGGGAAGATACCCAGCGTTGGCCATTTTTTGCTTTCTATCTTTGTTGGCCATAACTGTTTCAAAAATTTGCTGCTCGCATATGTGGTGAGCAGTGGAGCGAGGCCCCCGCTACGACGTTTACACAGAGAAGTCGTTTGCGTCTCAGTTCTTTTTCTGTTTTTTTTTGTCTCTGTTTTCTTGTTTGTTGCTATGTACAAAGTACTACAGATAAGGTTTTTTTTTTTTTTTTTTTGAGAAACTGTACAAGCAGGGTAACCAGCGTTCGGGATGGGCCGAACGCCCGAACCCCAACGCCCGAACGTATGGGACCCCTTGGGGATGCGTTCGGCCGTTCGGGCCAAACGCGGACC